ATCTTTGTTTCTATGCTTCTGTTGGTTCTATTGTAAAGTCATTCTAGTCTCAGGTTGTCTTATGTGTTTCCTGATGGCAAACTACATTTCTTAGTAAAACAACAAAAAAGAAACGCTGGGGTTGCTCTGCAATGTCCTGTAAAGGATAAGCAACTAATTTCTGTATGTATTTATTCAGTCTATTCGTCCTGTACTCAGTCAAAGAATGGTCATTTGTCGACAGCTGAAAAGTGTGACAGTGATGATTAGGATAATTTAAGCACCAATATATGTTGAATGTTGAATTAAGAATCAACATCTCAGCATTTGGGACACTCCCATAAGTGCTCCATCCCCATCTTCAGCAGCAAGCGAAGAGTTCCAATTCCGATGGCACCTGTAGCCATTTGATTGTTTATCCATCTCATCCTTACCCTGAATGTTGAGCGTTGGCCACACCCCCTGCTAACTCCTCACAGCATCATTCTCCTCAGACTTTAGCACCAAATGACTGCCTGTATATTTTTTTTTTCTCAAACTTTAATACGATAAGCTAGATGTGGTTAAGGCCCTTTGACAGCAAGTGAAAAATGAAGAGGCCTGAGCTGTTCTTTCTGGTCTGGAGAGAATGCTAAATCTGGGAGTGACCAGGGGATCTGGTCTACACTCTAAAGCAAGTCGGAAATAAAATCAAACTGCTACTGGCACCATTAGAATGCTTAACTGGCGGCTGAAGATGAGGATGGAGTGATTATGGGAATGTCCCAAGGGATGTTATATCAGTTCTTAGCGCAACACTCAACCTTAAAAAAAGAAAACCTTTTAAAGTGAAAAAAAAAAACAACAACAACAACAACCAGTAATTCCATTTATATACCATACCATACCATTCAGAACTATACAGTGACCAAAATGGCAAAAGAAGTATTTATGCATACAGGTTTATTTTCTCACAGAATATGTATAGTATTAATTTATGAATCTTGGTTAACTTTAGAACCATTCTAACCAGAAAAACAATTATTTCATGAGCTGCCATTACAGGAATTCAAACTTCTCAACTCCTTTGCCTGCACTCATATGAAAAACCTTAATGTTAACTGAATATTTATTAATTTGTTTAGAAGAATGAAATATTCCCTGGTCTTGGAGTTAAAAATCTACCCTAAGTATTTCAGGATCCTCACTGGTGCAACGGAGTTTGTGCACTGTGTTGAATCTTTAGTCTCAGGCTTAAGTTTGAAGTAGAACGGTGTGCTTATTATGGGAAACACCTGTGTGTCATGATGTTGATCCATTGTATAAACATAAACATTCAAGGGTGTAGATTCAAGAACAAGATGGCTATAATGTAAGCTTGAAAATCAACAAGCAAAACCAAAACTGTGTAATAAAACAAAGTAGTGAAAGGAAAAGGTAGGCTCAGTGATCAGAATATCCACTTTCCACATCATATGTTTGATCTTCTGTAAGACAGGTTTTTTAAATTAAAATCTCAGCCTGCATACTTGGGAAAGTGGGTTTTATCCCTCAACATGGGGTATGGGCAAGGGGGGGGGGGGGGGGGGGTGAAGGGGGGTACCCCTTCGGGCACACTAATAGTGAAGGGGGGAGAGGGGGGGCCCTTTCAGCACAATAGTGAAAGGGGGAGGGGAAAGTGTGCTGGAAGGAGAACCCCCCCCCCCCCCAGCACAATAACAGTATAGGGGGAGGGAACCCCTTCCAGCACACTAACAGTGGATGCCGCAAAGAAAAATAAAACAATATTTTCAACTTATGAAAAAAGTCTTATGAAAATATAACTTTATTTCATGAATAAATGTATTTTACAGTGATGCCTACCTAAGGTATAGTGCAGAATTATTGATTGGCACCCTAAGTAGAATGTGGAGGAGTTATATATTACAAAACATCTTAATATATGTATTTATATCTGCAAACACTGTATTATAGAAGTGTATATCTGAATATGAAACTCTGCATAAGAAAATAAGTCATACCTCAATTATGAAACACAATATCAGTTATTACTATCTTTCAAGTTTCCACTATTTTAGTAAGCATGCTCACATTTTCTCTAAGCTACCCAATTACAAGTCATTAATAACAACCACCGATAATCGACCAGTTCTGAGGTTTGGAAACTGGCAATAGAATGGATCACTTTATTTATCCTATCAATCAATCAGTTTGTTCCCTCTGGGATGCTTCATAAAGGTTTAGCATACCATCCTGGGATGTTTAAAATCTCCAAGGCCGATCTGAGATACCCTGTTCAACCTCCACAGAATTTATAATTAAGGCACCCGATTAAGGACGCTTAGTTTATTTCTATGTATCTTTGCCTTTAATAATGAAGTATGCAAACTCAACAGAAAACTTCTTCACATAGTCCATATAAGAGACCTTGCTACTATAGCACAATGCTTATATGTGGTATTTCTAAATACAGACTTAAAGTTACTGACGAAGAAGAAAAGACTTTTGTTAAAAAATATAGAAGAAAGTGCAACAAATGTGTGTGCATTAGTGAAATAGAACCCAAAATATGAAATAATTAAAAACGAACAAAAACGACGAAAAAGTAACTCAGTTCATAGCAAATAACCACTGTAAGAGCAACAACAAAAACATTTCAAAGATGTTTACTGCCAATAATTTCTGATAACAGAAGTTCCTCTGATCTCTGATATGGAGCTGTCTAGAATCTTTTCTCTTGGCCTCACCCACTCTCTTTTCCTCCATCTTCTGCATCATCACTATTAACTTACTCATGTGTCCCTCTTCCCGTGATGTCTTCAAAGAACAATGACTGATCCTTTTGATATTAGGATCTCACTATTAACTTACTCATGTGTCCTCATGATGTTTTCAAAGAACGTGAGTCTTCTATTAAACTATTAACACTCATGTGTCCCTCTTCTAGTGATGTTTTTAAAGAACAATGAATGATTCCTTTTGATATTAGGATCTCACTATTAACTTACTCATGTGTCCCTCTTCTAGTGATGTTTTCAAAGAACAATGACTGATTCCTTTTGATATTAGGATCTCACTATTAACTTACTCATGTGACCCTCTTCTCGTGATGTTTTCAAAGAACACTGACTGATTCCTTCTGATATCAGAACCTCATGCTCTTCAGAAAATAAACACATATATAAATGATTTCTGCATCTCTGTTTGGGTTCCAGGGCCCACTGTAGGTGAAAAAAAAACCAGATCCCTCTGCTCCTCCTCTAACAAGCATGTCGTAAATGGTTGACTAATTAGAAGTGTTTCCTTCGAAGCTTGAGAGCTTCTGCGGGAGAAGTCAGGAACCAACACTCTGCATCCAAAATAGCTGGATCTGTAAAACAGATGTGCTCATAGAACTCAAATTCTGGAACAAAACCAGAGTTCAGATGTGGACAAACAACACAACTTTGCGCCACTGCTTAAAGCTTGTGAATACTCAGAACAAGAAGAAGAGTCGGTTTCTGCAATACTACTGTTTCTGTTAATAAAACATGATTCTAAAAACAAGTGAGATGCCTACCATTACTCAACTTTTTATTCCACAAGTATTTTATGCCATTACAATCAAGGGAGGTTCAGTCTTAGATTTGCTATGCACTACATAAGCATTCATCTTTCTGGTGAGGAGAGTTTTGCTGAGCTCTCATTTAGGGAACCCAGGTGTAGATGATTGGTTAGGTGATTTGGATTTTTTCTGTCAAGGGCAAAAATAATTATGCAGCTGCACTACCTGGTGACCTGAAACTCTCAAGCCCTAAAATTATATCTTTATCTTCTTTCGTTCGCTTGAAATAGATTATCTATATCTGCAATGTTATCTCTAGTATAAACTTCACTGTATCTCTTTATCGAATAAAGGTCTCAAAAACAGTAAAATAATGGGGAAGTGGGAAACAGTTTGTAGTTTAAAAAAATATCTTTGTGGCTGATGAATAAGAGTCATAAATGATACAATCCAGGTTCATCAAACTAGTCTTTCCTGCAAACAAACCAGATACTAGGCAGCCCCTCTGTCGGTTCCAGGGATACATTTTGGAGAACAAAGAATAGACACACTGCCCTTTAACAAGCTTGTTCACTCACTGTTCATTTTACAGATCATCTTCATCAAACATGACCATAAGTGCTCTGATTTCCTCCTGAGTGTTTTTAAGCTAACAACTCCCATTCTGTTCTGGTTGATGTAACAGGTGGGTGGCTCACACGTGGTTTTCCTGTCTCGTTGCTCTAACTGGTACATCCAGGGTTTGTAGTCTAATACAGTGAACAATTTTCCATGAAACTAAAAGCCTCACAGTCTTGTTTTGCATTTATGATGTCTCTCCTGTCCATAGATGACCCATTCGTGATAGTTGCATTGCCAGCCAGGGTGTCTGCTTACTTATTGCCTTTCATACCAGCATGCTCTGGGATAAAAAATGAAGAGGATTCCAAGCACAACAAGCAGGTTGTAGGGGCGTTTCCTTTAAAGTCAGAAACCAAACGCAGAAGTGGAAAATTTCAAAGTACCATGAAGATGGCCCCTGAATCGAATCTAGTCAGCCAATCATTTTTTCCACATAGTTTAAGATAATGCTATAAAATCTACAATCAGCAAAAAAACAAACATGTAAGAATGACAATACCGTTATTATCAGGAACAATATTCCGAAAAAAAAAATGAAACTACAAAAATATTCACTACAACATCGTGTACTGCTTATTATGTTGCCATCTGTAATGAAATCAGACTCCAAATGTCTGTACCCAATGAAAATAAACACCATGTAACCTCAAAATTAATCAGAATTATTTATTTAAAAGAACTATGAGTGTACATATTTCAGGCATAACCTCTGAACCCCTTCTTCTCAGGACAAAAAGGTAAAGGAGTAAAGTTAACATTAATCCTAAAAAATTCATTGTATTACAATATACCAAACACTCCAGGAAAAACACCTTCTCAAGACATTTAACTGTACAAGTGAACAATTCCAATAACAACATGTAAACAAATGACAACATCATCCATTCTGGAGTACAGCATCATCAGCTTTCATGTTCTTAATGCACAGTAAACAAGTGAGGCCGGTGTGCTCTGGTTCAACATTGATGCTCAAGATTTTGCCATCGTCAATGACAAGTGAATACCTGAGGTATAAATTAGACAGCATTATGAAAAATAAACATCAAGTGAGCACATGATATGATGAGATGATATCTGAAGTATGTTATGTTAGAAGTTGAGAGTGCTTTGGCTGATTTGTTGATCAATAATAATTAATATGTCTCATACTGCTACCTTTGTTATTTCCGTATAGTTGTCACGGCAGTCTGTCTAACTACTGCACATAAAATGTGCCTAGAAAAACCAAAACAGCTGAAAAGTGTTGGGGTCAGTTCTGCAACGTCCTGTAGAGGATATGCAACTAACATTTTTATGTTATGTTATCAAATGTCTTCCCTGCACATTCCCATGCATGCTTATCCTCTGGAGCAGCAGCCACCCCAAAGTAACCTCTACTGATTGTTCTTGTGAGAAGTTATTTATAATGTCTCATATCTTGAACTTAAAAATGGCCTAGATGGGCTTTAACAAGCTTTTTTCCCAGGGCACATAGTTGGGTTAGCATCTGAGACTCGTCACTGTCTGTTATCAGCTCTTTCCATACTGCTGCCCACACGCAGTGGTGCATTACCTGCCAGTTGGTCTGCTTACTCATAACCCCTTACTCTTGCATGCCTAGGTGTGTAGATCCAGGTGAGAGAGATACAGTTCAACCTCAAAATGATGTCTACCCATTCAGAGCTGACTCTCAACATATTTGTGGTATTAATGTATTAGTTCAAAAGTAACCATGTGTGGCGCCAGTAATTAACACAAATAAATTCACTAAAAACAAGTATAAACTAGGAATTTTAACAAGGCAGAAAGGAAAACTTGCACAGAAAAAAATCAAGCATGTTGATGAGTCTTTATCAACAAATAACAAAAGAAGAATCCCAGACACCAGTACCCCTGTTATTCATGTGATTTGAAATGAAACAGTTGAAATTATAGATATGCCACTGATTTAAAAATAAAGATGAAATAATCATGTGCAGTATGCTTTAAAGTGTGGCAGTTAATGAGTTGCCAAAGGAGTTGGATTGGATTCCATCCATGATATTGAAATTATTGCAGAAGATAAATACTGTATAATATATTAATGGCTGAGGTGGATGATGATGACAATTCAACTGCTTTTGCACTACACAATTGTGTCTTACTTCTGTGAGCGAATGCCCCCTAGGACTTGTTTGCAGTCAATTTCCATGCCTAGGGCTTTAGTGAATTCTCCACGGGGGTCAGCCAACATTCGAATCTACAAGTGAGAAAACAATATATTAAAAAAATACTTAGATTTTAAACATCATCCCAGTGTGGGTTCCAGGGCCCCCATTGTGGGGAAAAACTAGAATAGACCCGCTGCCTCTCCAACAAGCATGTCGTAGGAGTCGACTAATTGGGTACTTCCTTTGAAGTGGGAGTACATCTGCCCGAGTGGCAAAAAACAACCAGCTACACAAAAACAAGTCAGTAAAATGGATGTACATGTAAAACTCAGGCACTGGCACAAAGCCAAAGTCCAAATGGATGAACAACCAGGATTTTCCGCTGAAGTTTACAGCCAGTGAATGAAGAAGAAACACTGGAATAGAAGAAAGAAAAAGTTGAAAATGCAGACAAAGTAAAAAAAAAAAAAAAAAAAATTAAAAAATTACAAAGCAAGAGATAAAAATAAGACATATTAACAAAATAAATTGTGGTTAGTTTATACATGTACGGCAGCCACCATGGTGTAGTGACTAGACATTTGCCTAAGGATCAGAAGGTCATAGGTTCAAATCTAAACAGAGCTGGACTTAAAAAAATATTTTGGCTCCCAGATCAACCCACTCTTAAACGGGTACCAGGTATAGTCCTGGGAAGTAAAAGTGGCCAAAGTGATGCTGATCATATCACCCACCGAGTGCCAATTCATCTATAAAATAAAAGTCTAGCCCTACATGCCCAAAAGGCGTGCAAACGGGGTCCTTTTTACTTTTACTTATATACATGTATGACTCTGTGGCTTGAAGGTTACAGAAATATTTTCACAATCCAATCCTCCATATTTAGCAGGGTTCGAGTCCCGCAGTCGGCGGTTTATAAACAGATTGTTTTCTAGCTTTTAAACATCGGTACGAGAGTCACACCATGGAAAGATTACGATAATACTCGCATAGTTATAAGCAGATACACTGCAGCTAACCTCAAATGTGTAGATGGCACAATTTTTTTTTTAAGAACACACATGCATCTCACAGTAACTGACAATATTGTTAGATGGCACAATTTTGTTAAAACAGGCATACATCCCACAGTAACTTGAAAACATTAGATAGATGGCACAATTTTGTTAACACAGGCATACATCCCACAGTAACTTGAAAACATTAGATAGATGGCACAATTTTGTTAACACAGGCATACATCCCACAGTAACTTGAAAACATCAGATGGCACAATTTTGTTAAAACAGGCATACATCCCACAGTAGCTTGAAAATATTAGATGGCACAATTTTGCTAAAACACACATAAATCTCATAGTAACTAGACAACATTAGATGGTACAATTTTGTTAAAACACACATACATCTCACAGTAACTGACAACATTAGATAGCACAATTTTGTTAAAACGCACATACATCTCTCAGTAACTGACAACACCTCAAGACACTGTATTACCTTTCCAGCAGCATTCGTGCTAATGCCCCAAGCTTTCATCACATAGGGATCATTCACAGAAACACACGATATCATGTAGCCTTCTTCCTAAGATGTACAAATATACAAGTGTGATTCCATATACGTAATAATACATACAACACAGCATTAAACATAAAATAAAATAATGTTTCAACATTAAATGTTGAATAAGGAATCCACATCACAGCACTCGGTACACCCCCATAAGCGATCCGTCCTCATCTTCAGCAGCAAGCGAATAGTTACAATTCTGATGGTACCAGTAACTGTCTGATTGTATATCCGTCTCACCTTTCCCCTGAGTGTTGAGCGTCAGCCAGATCCCCTTGTAACTCATCCCAGTGCCATTCTCCTCAGACCGTAATGATCTTTCTGTTCCTCGGCACTGTTCAGTCGCTCCCAAAAGGCCCTCACAACATCCAGCTTGTCATACATCAGTTCACCACCAAGTGATGCAGAACCAGCCAGTCTATCTGCCTGCTCATTTCCCAACACACCAGCATTTATATTTTAACAAATGTATAGTTACCAGAGGAATTGCAGTGACTGATTTTCAGTCAGTACGGCGGAAGGTTCAAAACAGACAAATGTAGTGCGAGTGGATACAAAGCACCAGCATGTCTACATTACAGGGACACATGTGGATATACTGTCCAGGACTTGCAGGAGTGCAAGGGAATAAAAGAGTGAATTTTCTGGCCACAAAAGTGATAGCTACGGGAACACTCACATTGAACAAAGGAGATAATCTGAAAACTATAAATGAATGAATTAGAGAGAAAATATGAGGTTAGATGAAATAAAATGTACAAGAATGTGTGAACGAGTCCCGCAAAAAAAAAAAAAAAAGGGGGGGGGGGGTGTGAAAAACGACAAGTATATAATTAGTATGCTAAGGGAAGTTAGCATCTACACAATAAAAAACTTGCAGGAGACGGAACATCTATGGGTATGCCTGGTGTTCTATGGTGTGGTTTTTAAAGCATTTTGCAGCGGCATAAAGGAATGTTGAATAAAAAATCTGCATCACAGCACTCAGGGCACTCCCAAAAGCGCTCCATCCCCATCTTAAGCAGCAAGCGAAGAGTTCTAATTCTAATGGCACCATGGCATGAAGGATAGAGTGCTAGCCTGTCGAGATGGAGGCTTAATCCTTAGCAGAGACAGGACCATTTGTTTCTGCCACTCTAGGAGTTTTAACCCTCCCCAAGAACAAACAAAAACAGCAATAACAAAAAAAAATCTAAATATTTACTAGGTGAATATAATTTAAGAATCCTTGGGGCCCTCACAAACTTCAGATGTTTCTAGTTTTTAATGTGAATCTATCCCTTCAACTGCAGTATTTATTTTGCCTTAATAAATAATAATACCGAGAAGTAAGTATGTATATAAATGATTTTATCCATGACTTAAATTGAAACTATGATGTAGCTCTTTAGAATAAAACATAATTAGATACTTTCAATATCATAATTTTGAAAAGTAAAAGAACTAAAACTATGATATTAAAATATTTCAATTGTTTTTACCTTGAATTTCTCATACAAAGACAGGTAGTCTGGTATGTGAGTCTGTGGAAAGCAACAAAAAGACAAGTTCAAATTGACCATCTAATTCCAAGCAGATCATGAAATTTATTTTACTTTATCTAGCAACAGATTTTACATGGTCACAGCTGAGACTGAAATGCTACCGTGGGATAATGTTAGACACTTGCCTGCAGGCCTCAAGGTTGTGGGTTTCTTAACCAACCTTGGCTTCCAGGATGATCTAGCCTAAAATGGCTATCAGGAACAGTCCCGGGAAGTAAAGCTAGCTGGCCACATCACTCATCGAGTGCTCAGTGATCCATAAAATATATGTCAAACACAATATGCCCAATGCGCCTAAGGAGTAGAAAATGGTCCTTTACTTTTACATGAATATTTGAAACAAGTGATAAGAGAAACACAGGGAGTAATAACTTGTCCTTTTCAATTGTTATCCCTGTGTGGGTTTCAGGGCTCTATTGTGGGGAAAACAAGAATATACCGACTGCCTAACCAACAAATAATGTCATAAGAGTCAAATAATTGGGAGCTTCCTTCAAAGTTGGAGTGCATCTGCCCGAGTGGCAAGGAATAATCAACTACACATAAATAAGTCAGCACAATAGATGTACACACAAAACTCAGGCCCTGGCACACAGTCAAAATTCAAATATATGAACAGCCAGGACTTTCTGCTGCAGCTTACAGCTGGTGAAAAAGAAGAAGAAGAGGTATTATGTTACAAGCAAAATGAAAGTAAAGTACCATTTTCCTGCCAGCAGTACTTATGACATATGGTACCAAACAAGTCAACACTCCATGGGTCTTGTGGTAAACATAATTCCAGTCACTTGAGTCACCTGTAATTCTCATATTTTTCAGGTACCCATTTTAGACTGGTTTGATCAGGGAAGCCAAAGATCTTCGGGCTGACAAACAAGTGTCTAGCCACTACACTACCACAGCTCCCAATTCTACTTTAAAAAACATAAAGAACAACAAAAATTGTCAGATGAGTAAACTATCCCTCTGTTTGTACCATCTCACATTTGTACATCCTGGGGTGAATGCTCCAAGCACTGCAAACAGTACACCCTTCTTTCCCTTGTACAGCTCGCTCGCAAGTATTGGATTATCTGGACTTCCCTCATACAAGTTCACATCAGGAAGTGTATCTCCAACCTAATTAACAAAAAATCAACAATGATTTAATTCAGGTTCTTTAAGTCTTTCGATTCCAGAAAATATCACAGCAGCTGCTAAATAAGAAACTTGAGCCCCTATGAACACAGTATCAGTGGCATGACTTTTATAATGGTAGCAAAAATTTTTATTTCCTCTTTTTTTTAATTGTCCATCTGAGTGATGTAACTCACTGCATTATTCGTGTTTACAGCATAGCTGTAATATTTGTATGTTTTCACTAACAGACCCAATTTTATGTGGCATTCGTTTACCGGGAGATTTAAAAAAAAAAAATAGTCATTAAATACAATACATATTTTTGCCACTGCAACTCAAAATGTTACTGGGTCAAATAGGATTATCCATGATCTGTCATATTCCATTATATAACAAGTTATATGGTAGTCCCCCCCCCCCCCCCCACACACAAATTTAATCATTATATACAATATAATACTTATAGTATGATGTTATTAATTATAATTCTACAATTCTACATCCTCATCATGATCATGTAGCAGGTCCTTTGCAGAACGTCATCTCATCATGGTCTGCCTGAAAGAAACTCAGTCTCTCACCAGCTCTCCCACCTCATGTACTGTCATACTAAAGGAGTCACTTATATCATGTGACCATCTTCGTGTTGGTCGGCCCCTGCCTCTCCTTCCTGGTAACATGCCCTCTGCTATTATTTTTTCCAATTTGTTGTGGTGCTTGATATGATGACCAAAATTGTTAGTTTCCGAGATAGGATGCTGTTTATTAGCCAATCTAGTTAATGTTCAGATCATTCAAGATCATCTTGAAGATGTCAGGACAGTATTTCTCTTCTTCTTTGTCCAAGATTATCTGAAAATCTTTCTATAGCATTTCAGCTCAAAAGCCCCTATTCTCTTTCATAGGGACTGGGATATAGTGTATAGTCCACGACTCACACCTGTGTGTTTCTACAGGGAAGATGAATTCTCAAAATTCTAATTCCGATCTCCTTGCTCGTACACAGTAGTTATTTTAAACTAAAGTAGTGAATATATTATATAACCAAAAAATATTAATAAGAGTCACCGGTCAGATCGTGACCTTACCTGTATCTTTCTCTTCGAAGAATACAAACGATGATAATTGCTATTGATGGCGCTGAGACTCAACAGAGGCTTCGTTAACCTTAGTGGTGATAAGCTGCCAATAAATCGTGTTGTTGCTGCTGCCATATTCACTTCAACATCCCTGCTGGTTGTAAGCATATGAAAACGAAACTATTTACTAGACCAAATACACTCAGTAGCAAACTGTTCTCAGAAATGCCAACTATAATGTAAACACTGCACCTTACATAAAGAGAACTTGAATTGCAGAAAACAAAAAGTACGGTAACTTTGTTTCGTTTACTTGTGGCTCGTGGAAATTAAATATTAATAGTTTCGTTACTTTTATGGTAGCGCACGGTGTAGGCTACTTGGGTCAGACTCACAACAAACAAGACAAGAAAAATTAGTAACCATGGGAATGTGTCTGAGAAAGACTGCAGGAGTGATCAGAAAAGATAAAATAAGGAATAAAGTCGGTGCTGAAGCAATGCTAAATTGCCGCGAAGAAATAGTAGTACCAAGACGTCGAAGGTACACGGACTGATGACGATAGTCAGCTGTGTTTCAAGCAGCTTTCGACAAAACACCAAGTAGAGTAACATAAAAAGTAAAGATCTATTTTCACGCCTTTAGGCGCATCGGGCATATGGGTAGAGAACCCACATTTTTTACAGACCAATCGGCACTAGGTGGGTCATTTGATCAGTATTTCACATTACTTCCCCAGGACATCAACTCTGTTACCCATTTTAGGCTGGGTCAACCTGCGGGGCCCCATTCCAGGATTGAAACCCAGGCAGCCAGCAGTGGGTTTAGATCGCGGTACGTTGGAATTACTAGTCCGACTCGCAATGCCTAAGCCACAGATGCCGCCCAATATATATATATATATATATATATATATATATATAGAGAGAGAGAGAGAGAGAGAGAGAGAGGGGGGGGGGGGAGTAAGAGAGATCAGCTCAAGACTCGATTTGTGTGACTTGGACTCGTCAGAGTTTGGTCGCATTATATATATATATATATATATATATATATATATATATATATATATATATATATACATATATATAATGTGTGTGAGTGTGTGTGTTTAATGTTTAATTAAGAATCGACATCACAGCACTCTGGACATTCCCATAAGCGCTCCGTCCTCATCTTCAGCAGCAAGTGCAGAGCTCCAATTTCAGTGGTACCACTAGCAGTCTGATTGTATATTCTTCTAACCTTTCCATTGAGTTCAGATCGTCAACCAGATCCCCTGGTCAATCCTCGCAATACCATTATCATCAGACCACAATGATCCATCTGTGCTTTCCACTGTTTACTTGCCCGCCCCCCCCCCACCTCCCAAACTTTCCTTACAACATTTAGCTTGTCATGCATTAATTCATCCCCAAGTTGTGCAGAACCAGCTGGTCTATTTGCTTGTTCATTTCTCAATACACCGGCATATCCTGTGGAAAATGTTCAAAAGACGCTTACTATGCTGGACCTCTGAGGCGATTTTTCACGGAGAATACCTGTCTCCACCTTTCTCAACATGCTCTCTGATTCGGTTACAATTACGACATGTGTGTACAGCTGATTCTCTAGCCAGCATATGGCTGCAGTGACTGCCTTCCCCTCCATTCTCAAACTAGATATTTTGGCGTCATATGTCAGGCTTTGTTGCACTAAGCAACATCCCCTGACTTTTGTTAAGAACCCTCATGACATTTGTCTGCATCTCAGACACAGTACCTGATAAATCATTTGTCGAACTTCTGATTTTGCAGCGCTCCCTGATCAGTCCCTGCACTCATGGCCTCTTGTGTTCAGAACTCTACACAAGTCTGACTTTTGCTAGGAATTCTGACCCACTCTTCTCATCGCCCAATTTTAGCAATCCAACACACATGTCCATTTGTATCTTCAGCTTGCGTCATCCAAGACCTTCCTCTTTTCAGCCTGTGACCCTGAGCTCTGTTTGGGGCTTCATGCAAGAGACTAATTTCCAGAGGGCCCTTACAACATCTTAGCTTGTCACGCATCAATTTATGGCCTCTAGTTGTAACTAGAGCTGTACCGAATAGTGATTTTCACTATTCGGCCGAATACGAATAGTACGACCAATTATTCGGCCGAATACGAATAGTGAATCATCATCATCAGATGCTTTGCCGACTGGCATGGGCGATTATGCCTTGCCACAATCTGCGATCTCCTGCAGCATGTATTAGTTCGTGTGCTGACACACCTCCATGCCATGCAACAAGACTGTCAAGAATCTTCTCTCGTTGTCTTCCTCTATCCCTCCTTCCACAGATCTTTCCAGTGGTCACCACATATTCCATTTTCCCTCATCTAATAACATGGCCGAAACATGATGTCTGTCTTCTTTTGATGTCTGTAATTAGTTGTCTTCGGGCTCCCGCCTCTTTCAAAACCTCTTGGTTGCTTTTTTTTTTTTTTTTTTTTTTGGGCTGTCCAAGGTATTTTAAGCATTGTTCTGTAATACCACATCTCTGAGGCCTCAAGAAATTGTTTGGCCTGACTACCGATTGTCCAGGACTCACAGCCATATGTTAAAACTGGATGTATGTAGCAAGCAAGAAAGCATTAGCTTTAAAAAAAAAAAAAAAAAAAAACACACACACACACACACACACAATCGTTCCATGTTGTCAGCATTAGGGCAGCTTCTTGTCTCACTGAAGGTATTTCCAGCTGTACTAAACAGACGTTCACTTGGTACGCTCGTAGGTGGTGCACAAAGTAACGCCTGACAGTATGAACCAAGGTGGGAAATCTTGATATGTTCATTTTCAACCAGTCCAGAAACGGGTGTAAGGTAACCACTATTCGTATTCGGCCCGACCGCAACTATTCGGTAGATTACCGAATAGTTATAAGGCCCCTATTCGGCCCCGAAGCGAATATTCGGTACAGCCCTAGTTGTAACACAGAAGACTCGCATTCACCGTCTCGCACGTAACTAGCACAATTGAGGATTACGTATGTTTAGTAAGTAAAGTTAAAAGCAAAGGACCATTTGTATCTTATTAACATATAGATCATATTTTGCTAGACTTTTGCTATTATTATAGATCAAACGGCACTCGATGAGCGATGTAGCCTTTATTTCCCATAATTTTATTTGGTATCTATTAAAAGTTGGGCTGACCTAGGAGAACAGGTTATGCCTGAAGTAACAAATTCAACTGTATACTGTTTGATTCCAAGACCTTTTAGCCCGCTCGCGTGAGCGCCCAGCCACTACACAACAGCATTTTCTCCTTGTGTTTGGCATGTCAATTTACAGTGTAACAGAAATATAAATTAAGGGACACAAATGTTGCTGGATTGTTATGGTAAATAAAATTATTATGTCCCTCACTGGTTTTATTATTAGTAACCCAGTAGTTTTTCAAAAATAGATTTAATGTTACCAGACTGCAGTCTACGTGCAAAAGTTATAAGAAGCTTATAACACTATTTTCTGACGGGCTGAGCCGTGGCAGTGTGGGTAAATCGAAACTTTATCAACAGAGCCGAAAGCTGATGATCTGTACCTCTTGTCTTCGGATTGGAGGTGCACCACACTGTTAACCCGACACTCAGTCTTATTATTATTATTATTATTTCAAATTTTTATTACACTAATATTTTATGTGTGACTTGCTTCACAAATATTAATATTTAAAGGGAAAAAATACACATTATAACACGAGCAGGTGATAAATTTATCTCTCTGTTTCTGCCGCCATTCCCAGTAAACATTTTTATTTATTACTACCACGAAACAAGCAAGTGTCTTCAGTTGTAGAACACAAGCTACAAAAGTCTAACAAATACAACTCTCCTTAATATTCCTATTCCCTACCGTCCATTTCAGGACGAAATGTGATTGAAGTATCTAGCTTCGTCCTTTTTAGGACGAAATTTATTGTTATTTGAAGCCCCACCCTGGCTTCTGCCAGGGGCCGCAATATAGGCAGGCCATAAATATGTCCAAATGTCTGAACGCGGTTTCTGGGACCTCTCCACGGTGATCCTCATCCGCATGGTGGCACTTTGTGTCATCCGGTGTTTATCGCTTGTGTGATGTCCTGGTGGGGTAGAAAGTCAGTCAGTCAGTCAATACAATTCAGAGAGAAATTTTTCCCAACTCGATAAAAACACGCTAATATACTCTAATATCTGGGCGAGTAAGGAACTATATTATTCTGTCATACGTCTGTGCCATCCCCCCCCCCCCTCACCCGTCCCACTTTTCCCCTCAATTTTCTTTTGGGCTCATACCTGGAAGTTTGAACACCCCAACAGGTCAAATCTCCATTTATCCTCGAAAGAAATTACAAACAGAGCTCCCGTAAAGGCTACGCAAATCTGGCATTCTTCTTCTTCTTTCGTTCGCATGAAATAAATTGTCTATATCTGCAAAGCCGTCTGTTGTATGAATTTCACTGTCTTTTGTAATTCACTAAGCGACCCGTAAAGTTTGACTTCCACAAGTGTCTCTTTTGGCCAAATGTTTTGCCTGAAAGCGTTGAATATGGGACAGTCTTGAAGGATGTGATCTGTTGTTTCAGGTGCCAGTCCACAAGTACACATGGCCGATTGGCCAATCTTAAATTTGTTGTACATGTGGGAGCGAAGTCTATTGTGCCCTGTTCTAAGGCGAAGGATAATAACTTGCTCTGGTCTGTCCATAATATGGTAATCATCTTGTGCCAGTTTCGGTGGCATTCTGATTGATTTGATCATTCTCTTCTTCTGTTGATAAGAGACTGGTATGTCAGGTTGTTCTTCAGTTGCACCTTCCTTAGCTAGTTTATCAGCTTTTTCGTTTCCGGGAACTCCACAATGGGAAGGTATCCACT